GAGTGAAACTGTTGAGAATTAATTATTCTTGCAATGTTTTATCAATGCGAAGAGTGACTGACACTGTTATTTTTCATTCACGGTTACGTCAGTTACGTTAGTTCTTATAGGTCCATGTATGATACTAAACACTTTTATTTCGTATACGATCGTTAGATTACAGATTTTATGTATTTATACTAAAAATTGTTAATTAACGGTTAAAAACGGTTAAAACTACTGTTGCATTACGTTGGCTATATTAATATCGTTAAAAGATAATATTTATTTATCAAGGTTGTGTTTTATTGTATATAAACGATAAAGATAATTTTTATTTTGCACAAAAATCCGGCAGTCTATTAATGACCGTGTAAGCAAATCGATAGTCTATCGAGAAAATTATAGTACTTTCTCAGTGTAAATCGAGAATTTAATTCCAATTCCGTGCAACAATATAATTTTAGTAACATGGATGAGGTGGTGAACGTGCCTAGAGTGACATGAAATATTTTTTGTAACTTTCTTTCTAGTCGTTGATACCTGAACCAAGAACGTAATCTCAAAGATATACGGCTGCACAAAGATATCAGCGTGTAGGTTGAACAGAAGTTTTCGAGCGAAATCGTTGTTCCCAAAATATGCTGAAAAGTGGAAGAGTAACAAATTCATAATAAATTATCAATACTATGCATACAAAGGTTCGAAACTTTTGTAAAATTGGTATCTATTGCTCTAATAAAAGTTGGCCATCTCACCCATACACGGCTCCATCAAGAAACAGATAGACGTTCCTTGAGCAAAGAAAGTGAAGGAACAGATGAATAATATGCACTGAGCTTTGCACTGATTCAAAAACGTTTTCTCATTGGTATCGTAGTTCGTGTGCCAGAAATTGTCCTCCAAGTACACCAGCAGCTCTTTAAATTGCTTCTTGCATAGGTACAAGGCTGTTACCTTTGCTGTGACTAACCCCTCTGTGAAGAGATTGCACAGTGCTAACATGGTATCCTAGAATTCAAACGCATAAAATATTGTTACGCCAGTGTTCTTGTTTATTTATGGCAGTATACGTACAAGAAACAAAGATTTAACAAAATATTTTCGATTGTCGGAGAAGACACTCTGACTAGTTGTGAACAAAATAAAATGTATTACACGAGGTCAAGAAAAAATCAAAATTTGTAGGAAATTTGAATTGCTATATACACACACAGAGAGAGCTTGTCTCATTTAACTGTTTTCTTAAGGGAATACGATTTCAAATAACCGTAAAAAGAACACAGAGTTATCATCGATCGGTCGACAGTCCCCTGTCACGCAGAATATCATATTAGGCTACTTTTTGCGAATCGATGTGTCGTAAGTTACCTTGATTCACGGGGATCGGTTTTATGCTCGCGCCCGAGGCAGTTTTGGAATAAAACGTCTAACATTTCTGATCGAAGAATCAATTAACTTCTCACCGAATTGTAATCTCAATTATGCTGTACTCCAATTTGAAATCGTACGCTGCTAATTTCCTACATTTCGATATGATTCTAGTGTTGTCATGGTTCAAAATATGTAATAGCTGCGAATATTCTACTCACTTCGAACGAGATCGCGGAAGAGCAATACACGTCTCTCGAGTGTATCACCAAGCCCAACACCAGAAAAATGAACGTAAACGTGAACGCGTTCCGTCTTCGGCGTTCCTCGGTGGGATTCGCTGCGATCCATATGCCGGTCACTTTCATATAAAAGGAAGTGACGAACAGAGAAAAGTCCTTGGTCTCCTCCGCACGCATTTTAAATTTCTAGCAACGACTAGATCGATTTTGAGTTTCGCTCGAGAGTCTCCCAGAAGATCATCGAGGATGCGACAGCTAAGGATCTTCGGTTGTTCTATGACTTTGATCTACTTCTGCATTCAAATCGCGAGCGTCATTACATCCGTCACGACTCTACATGTTTTATTTTTTAATTTGAAACTCTGCCGTGGGTAAAGCGAAGGGACCCCGTGTACTTTGCAACTTTGATCTATTTCTACCGTTTATTCAAATCGCAGGTGTCGTTAGAACTACCGCGAGTCTGTACATTGCATTTTTTAATTTGAAATGGATAAGTCGAAGGTGTCCCACGTATCCTGCGACTTTGATCTACTTCCACCCTGTACTCGATCCGTGGGAGATTCATTACGTGGTCTCGCGTGCACCCGATGCATAAATTGTACGATCGATGCGCTGTGCGTGATTTAGACGCGATGACCGTTGATTACCCGGCACAGTAGATTGAACAGTTCCAAGCTATCTCTGATTGTAAAAAGAGTTCAATACTACGTGCGACGTTACCTATATTACTAATATGACAGTGACCGATCTGCGAGTGACGTTCCGTTACTATTATGAAAAGTGAAAATCATTGAAAATCCAAAGTGAGCACCCAGTTCACAAAGTGAAGCAAAATACGTGGTTACGATCTCTCTCTCTCCTTCTCTTTATCGCTCTCTCTCTCTCTCTCTCTCCCTCTCTGTCTCTCCCTCTCTCTCTCTCTCTCTCTCTCTCTCTCTCTCTCTCTCTCTTTCTCCCACCCTCCCTCTCTCAGCATTGCAGAGAGCGCAGTGCTTTCGTGATTGTTCACGTGAGTGCATACATCCTGCAGGGCCGATGGAGCGATGCCCTTCCCTCTTAGCGGGTGCGCGTGTATCGTGATTCATGACCACTGAATGCTGTTCACTGCAGCAGCACCGTTTGCCAGTCGAGTTTTAGAGAGTTAGAGAAGAGGACGTTTCGCATCCTGACTAAGGAGAGTAAGTTACGTTGAGATTTAAGCTGATCGGGTACCCGAGATTTCGGATTAAAATCGGCTCGGGTATTTTCTTCGGATTCGGGTCAGGACCCGTAACTTTTGGATACCTAAAATTCTAAATGCCGATCAGGGAGTGTTTATATATACCTGGAAATCTTTTAGAGGCATAAGATAAACAATCAGGAAAAGCTAATGAAATGCCTCCCAAATCCCATTTTTAAATTAAACTTACAGCCGACCCGAGGCTCGGGTACCTAAAATCTATTCGAGTGAGCAATCCATCCATGAGCGTATCCATCCAGGTGCATAGTCGAACGGTACGTTCTAATACCGTCGCAATTATTACCGATTTGGCAACTGTAGTATGTGCAGAATCTAGTCGGTTTATTCGCTTAGACAAGTGTTCGGGATTATTTGCATGCAACACGCCGATTGCGAGGGCTACGCTTCCTGGCACTAGCTGCGCGTCTCGATCACCCGTGATCGCCTAAATACTATACGAACACCCATAAAGCAACAGGCACACGTGCCCGATGTCCTCCGAGCCGAAAGAGCTGGCCTGGAGTACATCTTCCCCGCCTTCGCTTCTACTCGGTGGGAGTCAGTTCCCCCACCATTAGGCTATTCTCCGTTATACTACTGCTTTCCTCGCCGCGTTGATCGTCACGTAAACATGTTAATCGTCGTATCGCATGCAAACTCTGCGTCCACTGAAATTTTGTTTGTTACTATCATAATGCAACATCATAATGCAACTTTGATTTAAAACGATGAGATTGAGAAANCTCTCTCTCTCTCTCTCTCCCTCTCTGTCTCTCCCTCTCTCTCTCTCTCTCTCTCTCTCTCTCTCTCTCTCTCTCTTTCTCCCACCCTCCCTCTCTCAGCATTGCAGAGAGCGCAGTGCTTTCGTGATTGTTCACGTGAGTGCATACATCCTGCAGGGCCGATGGAGCGATGCCCTTCCCTCTTAGCGGGTGCGCGTGTATCGTGATTCATGACCACTGAATGCTGTTCACTGCAGCAGCACCGTTTGCCAGTCGAGTTTTAGAGAGTTAGAGAAGAGGACGTTTCGCATCCTGACTAAGGAGAGTAAGTTACGTTGAGATTTAAGCTGATCGGGTACCCGAGATTTCGGATTAAAATCGGCTCGGGTATTTTCTTCGGATTCGGGTCAGGACCCGTAACTTTTGGATACCTAAAATTCTAAATGCCGATCAGGGAGTGTTTATATATACCTGGAAATCTTTTAGAGGCATAAGATAAACAATCAGGAAAAGCTAATGAAATGCCTCCCAAATCCCATTTTTAAATTAAACTTACAGCCGACCCGAGGCTCGGGTACCTAAAATCTATTCGAGTGAGCAATCCATCCATGAGCGTATCCATCCAGGTGCATAGTCGAACGGTACGTTCTAATACCGTCGCAATTATTACCGATTTGGCAACTGTAGTATGTGCAGAATCTAGTCGGTTTATTCGCTTAGACAAGTGTTCGGGATTATTTGCATGCAACACGCCGATTGCGAGGGCTACGCTTCCTGGCACTAGCTGCGCGTCTCGATCACCCGTGATCGCCTAAATACTATACGAACACCCATAAAGCAACAGGCACACGTGCCCGATGTCCTCCGAGCCGAAAGAGCTGGCCTGGAGTACATCTTCCCCGCCTTCGCTTCTACTCGGTGGGAGTCAGTTCCCCCACCATTAGGCTATTCTCCGTTATACTACTGCTTTCCTCGCCGCGTTGATCGTCACGTAAACATGTTAATCGTCGTATCGCATGCAAACTCTGCGTCCACTGAAATTTTGTTTGTTACTATCATAATGCAACATCATAATGCAACTTTGATTTAAAACGATGAGATTGAGAAACAAGAACGATACTTTGATTTAAAATAACTTTCAAAACCGAAGAACTACTTCCACATTTCGCTGATGCTTTCACCAAACATTGGTACAATTTTCCGTTTTTGTGCGGAATCTGAGCGCGAATTAGGGAGAAATTACTGTACCATCAAAAATTTTGTCATACTTTCTGATACATCTTTTTTGACTTCCATGTTAACCAACTCAAAAAAAACTCGTCGTTATTAACCCTGTTTAATGATGAACACGTAAATTATTATTTAGGCTATGTCGCTTTAAAAACAAATGATAAAATAGAAAAATAGCAGTCTGGAATCGAGTTTAAGACGTAGGCATACAATGACATTAGAAGTTCGCAAACAGGATTTTTATATGTTTAAAGTGGATTATTTATTGAAGTAAAAACCTTGAAAGTTGCTTATACATATAATAGAAATGAATATTGGCCATAGACATAGTGACATCAATACTGATCGATTTCTTCGATCGAGTTTCTCAGTAAAGTGAAATATGAAGCTGCAGTCGTCCATACCTACAACAATCAAAGTAATTAATTTAAAAAACATCATCAGGATAGCTTGACATCTTCGCTCATCGTTAGTTACGAATTGAAAGTTAACTTTACTCTTTATAAAATCACAAATGGCACTTTAAAAGAAAATTATGCTATAGAACAACGACTATCCATAAAAACTACTTTCATAAATATCCTTTAAAAATTCATATAAAAAAGCCGCGAACTATCTTGAAGTGAGGTTCCGATCTAGAAGACTACAACAAAAAGAAGTTATTTATTACTATTTATTAAAAAGAACTAAGTAATAGACAAGATAATCTGGGGTTTTCGACATTTTATTATGTATCTTTTGAACATAATAGACAAAAATCATGTAATGTTTCATTTTATCTAATTATTAAGAATAAACAGGTCTCATTCTATAGGAGTTGCCGAAAAATTCTCTTTGGACAGTGGGATATTTATTTCCCCGACTGTAAATATAATATGTATAATATTTCCGATATTATAATGTACCAGTGAACCCATGAAAGTATAAAAATATCTTATTTTTTAATCATTTTCTCTCATTTTAAAGCCAACAATAACGGTAAATTTGAAGGAACTTGAGATATTAAAGCCTCTTTGTCTGCGGAAAAGTATTGTATATTTTCTAATTTCAAATAAAATTCACATAAATCGAAGTAGCTNAATTCACATAAAAATCGAAGTAGCTATTTGAGAAAAGAGCCTATCTCGAGATATTATTGTATAGTGTTATAGTGTTATATGTATCTATAGTGTTACATATATACTACTACGCTACTACATGCCAAATTAGTTACTATGATTTTATATGTGCCCATAATTATGAAAGTGGTCTAAGTCAAAATTAAAAAAAAAATGAATTTATCACTTATTTCACACGACATGATTTTAAACTAAATTTATTCAATGTAATTTTTACGATATCGTCAAAAATGAACCTTTAGATAGTAGTTGTAATTACAACGTTATACGGAATTCATTTAGTGTTAATTATGAAAGTGGTCTAAGTCAACAATTTCAATATCTTATCGATCTTAGCTTCTCAAAAACACGTAATAGCCTACAGTGATGCTTGTTCAGGCCAATATTACTACCATACATATCCTTCCAGTTTTTCAGGAACATTTTTAAAATCTTAAAAACTCGAAATTATAATAAAAATGGATTACTTTTTAAAAATGATTAATTAATGTTTATGAATTATTTCGTTAAAGTTGTTGTTTCAAATGGACCGTTTATTTTGAAA